ATTGGGATTCATTTGATCTGGATTTGGACAAGGGTATGGGTATGTGATCTTGCTGCTGTTGCTGGTGGTATTGATGGTAACCTCCTGAGCTGTGCTGCAATGAGGCGGCATGTGTGGGTGTCAACGGCTGGGTATTATTCAAAGTGGTCATGTGTTTTTTCATTGGCGGTGGTGTACCGGCAATTTTATTAGTCTTCTGCGGGGTGCCATTTAAACTGCCACCGCCAAATACTGATGTACTTATGGAAAATGGTGAATTTGGTGGCGATGGTGTTAGGGTTAAGGTTAATGCTGAACTCTGGCTACTTTGTGTGGAGTTGTTGTCATCATTTATGGAATTATTTACGGAGGTGTTTGATGAAGATTTATAAGCAGTTGTGTGCTGCTGTTGTTGTTGCTGATTATCATTTGAGGGAGATTGTCTGTTCGATTGATGCTGTTGTTGTTGCTGTTGTTTGGCTTGCTTATTGCGATTGCTGCGTGGTGATGCTGTTACACCAATATTACCCACACTGCCACGATGATGACGATCCCACGAATCCCAAAATAATTGTTCTATTAATTGTTCATTATTTTCTCTCGATTTTGTTTCCATTTCATGCGGAATTGAGTCGGTTGAATCTTGTGCCGTGGCCAATATTTCCTTACATTTACGTAAATTTTGCATGGCTTTGGTTAGACGCCTTAGTTCCTCTTCACGATAGCTGGGATTGTGCTGCAGTAGTTCCTTCAATTCCATTTCATTGAGTTCCAATAATTGCTCGAGCGTCGAGAGTCGCGTCAGGCAAACATTTAATGTATCCTGACTTAGACCGACAACGCGTAACCATTGTCGCAATTCATTACCTGAGGTATGTGGTAAACCGCTAGCCGGCAAACGTTCGGTTAATCTTCCTTTGGTTAATAGCAATTCGGAGAACATACGTAACAATTTGGTTTCCAAACTGCGTATTTCTCGTTGTGTTAGCAGGGTACTGGTCAGACATTGTGTTCGTAATCCTTCTAAACGATTGGCCGAACAATCGATCATATCTTGTATAACATCTAAATCATTGACAGGCAACGAAGATGCAGATGCTGAATGGGGACTTTGCTGCGGATTGTTGCTGCTGCTGCGTACCGGTGTTGAGTGTGTTGAAACAGATTGCTGTTGTGGATGGTGGTGGTGATGATGATGATGGTGGTGATTAGTGTTGGTGGCTGTAGTTGCTGCTGGGGGATTTGTGGGTGTCATTGTTTTAATTGGAGTCGTTGTAGCACTACTATTTATCATGATCACTAGCTATTTGTTGTTGTTCGTGTTACCACATGGATGTGGCGAGGGAGAGAGGGTTGGGATTTCCAAATTGCCTAAAAAAGAAAAGGATATTAATTTTATTATTCATTTAATAATATATATTTTTAAATTTGATGGCCATAAAAGTTCCGGTGCCTGATAGTTTTGCTTCCCCTCAATCACTTATCTAAATAAGTGTGCATACATTTATTAATTTTTGCTATGAACTTTCCTCTACTGATGTCCATTACAAATCCTCTCTGTTAGCTTCTTCATGTTTCTCATTTCTAATAATTGTATTTAATTGTTTTAACTTTTTTTTCAATCTTAATATTTTGTGGAAGCAACTTCTTTCCTTTAATAAATTTGGTTTTTTAATAACAGCTGATCGCCAGCCAGCCTAATTTCCTTTTCACAGCCCGTTTTGTTTGCCATCTCTCATGTAAATAAGAGATAACATTATTCTTATAAGGCAGCATGCAACAAATCATGCTCGCTCCAATAAGTATTATTGAGGTTTGCCTTGCAACGGGAGACAGAGAGTTTAGCCAGCAGTAAATAAACGTAAAATGTCGTTTTTTTTAAAGAAAATTAATATTATTTTTTAAATTAAATTCAAAATATAATTATAGAAAATATATATGACTATAAATATAAATAAATTAATAATGAGTTTAGCCTCACATGTAAAAATAAGGGGAGAGAGTGTGTAAAAGAGTTAAACTGACAAATAGACCTGCAATTCTATTGATTTGCTTGTGTGAAAAAAATTATTAAATAAAGCAACTAATAACATTTTTAAATAATAATAAAACAAATGAATTTGTTCAAAATTATTAAAAAAAAATTTGTTTTTTGTAGAAAATATCAACAAATTAAAAAAACATCTTAAGAATGAGCTTAGTCTCGCGCAGCCAAATAAAGAGAGAGTGTGCAAGAGAGTCTTTTTTTGTAAATAAACCGATACTGCTATTTTGCTTGAAAAGGGCAATAAATAAAAATAATAATTAATATAAAAATAACGTTAATTACCAAAATAATTTATTAAAATTTAAATTCCAAAAATTTAAATTCTTTAATTAATTAATTATTTAATGGGAATGACAATTGAAAAGAGAAGAATATCTAAGAGTAAATAACTGTTACTGTAGTTGTTCTTTTTTCTTTTAATAATTTGATAGGTGATAAAATACACTTAATATACACAATAATTATTAATAATAATACAACAAACGCATCTATTAAAAACATATATAAAAAATTAAAAAAATAGCCTCTCTCCATGGAAACCACAAATGTCAATTTACCGTTTACGTATGTATGACAAGGGGCCGATACAACTTACTCACGACTATTAATTAAAAAAACTGTATTATGATGATTAACTGATGTTGCTTAATTTTACTTTACTATAAATTGTTTATGATTGTGGACGATGATATTACTGGCCCCCTCTCTCTCCCCCTTACCCGTTACAAAACAATACCCACAAAGAATTTAACACTGAACTATATATGGCCATTCCAAAAAAAGGATATTTTCTTATATACAAAAACAATGACTTTTTGTTGTTTATTATTTAACTACCTTTTTTGTGGCCTCAATGCACAATAACAATACAATTTTTGCAGCTCTTTTTGTTATCCATAATTGTTAAAGACATTTCCAATTTAAGAATTTTGCTCTGTTGTTGTCTTGATTTGTAAAAAAACTCAACAGCCAGGCCGTAGTTCTTTATTTTTTGGTTAACTTCTTTTTTGTTTCGTTTGTCGGTTGGTTGTGTTGCCCTTTTTTATTTTTATACGTCTGTCCCACCAAAAAAAAAATAATACCAACGACGTTGACGTCGTCTGCACAACACAACAAAAGCAGATGTATGGTGGGGTGGTGACAGCGGCGGCGACGACAACGGCGGCTGCTACGGCTCTGCTAGGTATAGTATTTTCTTCTTTCTTATTTTTGTATAGCACCAACTACTATTTTTTTGGCTTTCGTTTTTAATTAAATGAAAAACAACAATTTTCTTATTATTTAATACCAGCACTCTTCTATTTTTTCTTTCAATTAATAACTTTTTCATTCACTTTTTCTTTTCAATAGCCAATTTATGTTTTTCTTTTTTTCATTTGCAAATTTGTCGCCAACTTTTTCCAAAACGTCGTTGAAAAAAATTCTTTATCCCATTTCTTTGTGGTGCCTCTCAGTCAGCCAACCAAGTGTCGTCTTTTGTGTGTGCTGCCTGCCTACTACATAATTGTTATTGTATTTCTTCGTCGTCGGTGTATTTATTTTTTTGCATAAACATTCATTCGCTCGCTCATTCGAATTCACAATAATTTACTATCGCACATTCCGTTCTTGTTATTCGTTAATTTAATTATATTATTTTTTGCTGTATTTTTCTTGTTAAATATTGGAATTTTTTCGTTTAAATCAATTGGGTTCTTTTTTTTCTTCTTGGTCAGCTAAAGAAAAATATTTCTTCTGTTCGTTTTGTGTGTTCGTTCGTCGCGTAGTGTGTAGTGACATTTGAGTTATCGGTGTGCGATAGTTTCGATTACGTTGTGTTTTACAATGGAAATCGATTATTTTGTTTTTGTGACGGCGCTGAAGAGACAAACTGAACGGCGTCAAAGAAATGATTATTAAACTTAACATAAATAACAATATTAATGCAAATAATATTAAATTAATTAATATGATTAATTAAAAATAACATAAAAATAATATTAATAAGTGGATTTTTTTAAAGAATAGTTTTTGAAAAAATAGATCTTCATTTAAAAAAAAAAATTCCGGAAAAATAGGCTGGAAAAAATTTGCGAAAAAACGTTTTTTTAAAGAAAAAAAACATTAAGGAAAAAATCTGATTTTTTGCGAAAAAATTTCCGATAAAAATAGGACTGGATAAAAAAAATCCGCAAAAATAAGCGAACGTTTTTTAAAGAAAAGAAAACAAATTTGTAAAGAAAAATTAGCGGGAAAAAGTTTGATTTTTTTAAGAAAATTTTTCCTGGAAAAATTTTTTTTGGATTTTTTAAATAAAAAATCTAAGGGGAAAAATAGGCGTTGAGACCCTCTGGACTTCAAGAAAAAATCGGATTTTTTAAAAAAATAATTAATGGAAAAATCTAATTTTTAAAGAAAAAATTTGGCGTGGAGTCCCTCTGGACTTAGGAAAAAAACAAATTAAAAAAAAAATAATTTACGGGAAAAAAACTATTTTTTTTAAAGAAAAAATTATGGCTTTTTATGCAAAATTTTCGTAGAAAAAAATAAATCTGGATTAAAAAGAACCGGGAGAAATAGGCGTGGAGTGCGTGGAGGCATAGGCATTTTATACATAGGCATGAGTTAAAGAAAATCGGGGGGAAATAGGCGTGTTTTTTAAAGAAAAGAAAAAAATAGTGAAAATAAGTTTGAATTTAAAAAAAATCCTGGGGAAAATAGGCTTGGAATTTTCAAAGAAGAAATGAATGTGGATTTTTTTAAAAAGAAGTTTGTTTTTTTTTAAATATGGATCTTTTTAAAGAAAAAAATCCGTGACAAAATATGATTGGAGTCTCTCTGCTTCAGATCGTCAATTAATCTGTAAAGACACCCTCCAACTCGTCTATAAAGAATCCCTAATACAGCTCGACTATAAAGACTCCTTTGAACATGTCTCCCTACAGCTGTCTTCAGTAAAATTAAATATTTAATTCCTCTTCTTCTTGTTTTTCAGGTTCTCAATATTGGTTTGAAATGGCCAAATGATGCCTATGCCAATGGTGCTACCAAAATTGGTGGTCTTGTCGTCAAAACAACATTAATGGGTACAAATGCTATTGTCAATATAGGATGTGGTATCAATTTAGATAACGGCAAGCCGACAATTTGTATAAACGATATGATTCGGGAATATAATCGTGGAAATCAAAAACAACTTCCTTTACTGAAATATGAACAATTTTTGGCATTGACTTTTAATGAAATTGAGAAATTTGTCGAACTGGTACAGCAGGGAGATTTCGAAAAGTTCTATAAAATTTACTATGAATTGTGGTTGCATGGGTAAGTAGTAATAAACCGATTTTTTAAATTTTATAATTCAAGAAAAATTAATTAAATATTTTTGCAGCGACCAATCCGTAACAATTTGTGATCAAGATGGTTCCAAAAAGGAGGCCAAAGTAATTGGCATTGACGAGTTTGGCTATTTGGAGGTTCAGCTTGCCAATGGCACCAAAGAAGTCGTCATACCCGATGGCAATAGTTTTGATATGTTGCAAGGTTTAATAGTACCTAAATATAATTAAAAGTGATGCGAGAAGAGAAAGTCTATTAATCGGGAATTTATGGAGAATTTTTATTAGAAATTTACATACCTAATATATACTACAATATACAATTGAAGAGATTTTTTGTGCATTTAAGTAATAGTTATTGCATTATTATTATTATGAATAATAACAAAAAAATTAATCCCAGTGAATTTCAAAGCATACACATTTTCAATCAAAGAAGTTGTTGTTATTACTTAATTAATAAATCAAAAGAACAATTATTATTATTAATTACCAAAGAGATTCCAATACCTACAATACCCATTTCCAAATACACATATATATTCCTATTTATGAATGTTACTTACTTTATCAATCTAGCCTCTTAATAATAAATAAATGTTTATTTGTTTGTTTTTTCGAAATTCTAGTCATCCATATGTACATCTAACATTTATTATAATCGTTACATTTTTGAGACTTATAATAACATATATCCCCAAAAGATTTCTGTGTTTTACTTTTTTTGAAATTATTAACCCATGAAGAAAGACGAATGGAAATCTATTATATATTCTAGTTGTTGTTAAAAAAAATAAAACTATATACTATATAGGTTATCTATATATACATAATTAAAAATGCTATATCAATAAATTAATAAAAACACGTGAAAACAAAAAACGAGTAAATTTTTAAATACTTGTTTGGGTAAGTAAAATTGTAGCTCTAATGTCGAACCTACAAGAAGGTAATATTTAAATAGCAGAGTTTCCATACAAAAAACTAATATGAATAACCCGATCATGTCGGAACTAATATAAAGACTCCCTTCAGCTCGTCTATAAAGAATCCCTTCAGCTCGTCTATAAAGACTCCCTTCAGCTCGTCCAAAAATACTCTGTTATGTATTTTTCTACCTTGGTTTGGCAACCCTTTTTTTAATTTTCATTATTCAGCTATGTGAAATCCAATTCAGCAGGGTTTTTTTTGTAACATTTAATTCATTCGGCTTCCATAATAACCAATACTCATTTCGAAACTATGTTGTGGGGAAAATTTGGTATTCAGCTACTCAAGAATGATATTCAGCTAAAATTTTTCTTGGCCATTACAAAGTATAGATTCTACTGATTATATTTATTAACGAATTTTGGCTATTCAGCTATCAACAAGTCAATTAAGCTAAGATTATTTTATGAAATTTTAATTTTCTACCATTTTCACTTAATACGTATCTTATTCGGCTACACAAAACCCCAATTCAATAATATTTTTCTTGAATTACCGAATATGAAAGGCCGTACAATCCAACTGATTATATTCCCTAGTTCCAATTCAGCAAATATTTTTGTTGGATTACAGAATATAATTCTACAGATTACATTTCTGTTGCAATTTTTGCTATTCAGCTGTCAAAAAATCAATTCCGCTAAGATTATTTTTATGAAATTTAATTTTTTAGCATTTCGAGGTAATAATGATCTTATTCGGCTACACAATTCCAATACTACAGGTACCACAGACTCCCTTTGGATTCATTTTCATTATGCAGCTATCAGGAAACCAATTCAGCAAGGATTTGTTTAATATTAAATTTATTCAGTTTCTATTTATCCATCCATTGTAACCAGAACTCATTTCAAAACTATGCTATGAGGAAAATTTTGCTATTTAGCTACTAAAAACCCTATTAAGCTAAGATTTTTCTTGACCATTACAAGGTATAGATTATACTGATTATATTTTTGTACAAATTTTGGTTATTCAGCTATTAAAAAACCAATTCAAGATTATTTAACGAAATTTCAATTTTCTATCATTTTGTCATAATAATTATCTTATTTGACTACACTAAAACCCAATTCAGCAAATATGTTCGTGCTCCCGTAATGTAAGAATCTACTAGATTTTACTATTTTCTTCGATATAAAATTCGTTATCGTAGTAAAAAGTAGTCGATTCATGCAGTACGGGAACAGATCATTTATTATACATATACTATAAAGACTCCCTCAAGTTTTTTTTTTATTTATTTCATTTTTATTATTCAGCTATCCGAAATCCAATTCAACATGAATTTAGTTTCTTAACCAATACTCATTTCGAAACTATGTTATAAAGAAAATTTTGCTATTCAGGAAAGATTTCTCTTGACCATTACAAAGTAAAAATCCTACTGATTATATATCTGTATGAATTTTGGCTATTCAGCTATAAAAAAGTCAACTCAGCTGAGATTATTTTCTACCATTTTTACATAATTATCTTAGTCTATCATATTATCATATTAATTATTTTGTCATTGCAAAAAATTGGTATTCAGCTACTGAAAACCCCTATTCAGCTCCACTTTTTTATAGCATTTAAAAACTATAGAAACTCCTATTAATATTTCTGTAGAAATTTTCCCTATTCAGCTATCAGAACACCAATTCAGCTAAGGTTATTTTGTGGAATATAATGTCCACTTAATAATTATCCTATTCAGACACATATTTTAGAGGCTGTAGTTTTATATTTCGAGTTATCATTGGCTTTATAAAGACTCCATCCAGCTCGTCTATTAAGACTCAATCCAGATCGTCTATAAAGAATTTATCCTACTCGTCTAAACTTGGGACACAAAATTTAGGTTTTTAAAAACATATTTTTATTTTTACGCTTTTTATTAGTTTGATATAATAGCTGAAGGTATGTTACAAATTTCGAATGTTTGGACCTTACTTGGTGGCCAATTTTGTAAAAACAATACCAAATTTACTTAAATTAATGTGGAAACATGTCATTAGCTGCTCCCTGAGAGATTCTCTCTCACTCTCTCATCAATACATTCGATAAATCGATTATTCCAATTGTCGACTTAGTGACCCCTAGCGTCTTAATTAGTATTTTTCAGTAAATAAAAAGAAAAATACTTCAAATTTAAATATTATAAAGTTAAATATAATAATCAACATAAAAACTACTCAATTTAGTTTTTTTTATTATATTTCAATATATTTTCGAATATTTAAAGCAAAAAAATTATATCTTTTATCGATAACCTAGATCCCTTAACGCTTCGTCTTCTATGTCTTCTTCGAAATAAGCAACGGTCAGCCTGAGCCGTTTTCCTTTTGTTCGCTGTTTATTAGGCATTTTCTCTCTTCACTCCGATTTGATTTTTTGACAAAAAAATTGTACCATGAAATCTACTACTTTTAACTACGATCATTTATTATTATAAATCAAATTATAATTTAAATATATTTATTATACTATATTATTAAATCCTTTGAATTAAATCCATTACAATGTAAACGTTAAATTCTCTTATTTTACAGTGCATAGAACAATGTGTTATCAAGTTATAGTGAATAACAAAACGAGTAATCATTTTACAGTGGATTTTACCTTCTATGAAACAGCTGATCAAATTTGTGATCAGCTGTAGGTTTTCCTCGTCTCATTCGCTTTAAACCTCATTCATCCAGTTGGTCCTCGTCTCGTTCGCTTTGACCTCATTCGTAAACACGAGATTGGCGAGATTTGTCCTCGTCTCGTTTGCTTTCAACTTCATTCGCCAGGTTGGTCATCGGCTCGTTTGCTTTGACCTCAGTTTACAGGGTTGTGCCTAGTTACAAAACTGAACTAGCTGCGTGAAAATTTGTTTTGCATTTTCATTTCTTTTCCGGAAAAGAAAAAATACTTGAAGAAATAATTAAGCAAAATTTGAAAAAAAGAAATAATACAAAATGAAATAAAGTGCTATAGAATTTGTAGAATATTTACAAAAAAAGAAAAAAGGGAGGACAAGCAAAGGCACTTGTCCCCAAAAACTATTCTCGTTTGTCCGTTCCGTTTATGTACACAGAATTTATATTTTTTCTTATAAGCCAGCAACAACAACAACCTCCTCCTCGATCACAAATTCACCAAAATGTCCCAAAGACCCGCATCTCGTATAGATCGTTTTGCTCAGATGAGCAAACAAGAGGAGCTGATTGCCAAAAAACGTCAAGAGATTTTGGAAAAGCAACGAACCGCTGAATTGGCGAAAAAGGTGGTGGCCCAACAAATGGCCAATAAATTGAAAAATGACATTGAGGCGGAAAAGGAGGTGGACAAGAAATCCTCCGATGCTAGTGAGGATGAAGTAAAGACCGAAACATCAGCTTCAATCACAACGGTGGCATCTGCTGCCACCAAGCCGAGTGTTACCAGTAAATTGACGGGTAAAATGTATGGTGGTGGTGGTCAGAAGCGTTCCTCAATGGCCATACCCAATGCGGAGCAGCCACAACCTAAAATACAAAATAGTTTTTGTAATGATGGTTCATTTTTGGAGAATTTCAAAAAGATTTTGGAAAAACAACAGCAGCAGCAACCCAAACCATTTGTACCGGTGTAAGTATCAACGATTTTAAATATCCTTCCCAGGATATTAGAGAGTAATAATTTTGTTACTTTAAATTTTCAGAACTGAGGCCAACACAAATGAAAGTGAAGGAAATTTGTCCTCTTCCACAACAACAAATCAAGCCACGGAACCAACTAGCTCTCTACCAGCACATTTGCAACAACAACAGCAGCAGTTGCAGCAAACTCCATCACTTCAAGCTCAACAACCACCACCACCCCATCCCTCACAAATGCCGCCCACATCACAACCCATGCAATTTCAATTTAATCCTGCATTAATTGCTGCCCAAAATCACCTACTGCTGCAAGATCCCAACTCATCACCCGTACCGCCCATGCCAATGCCACCACATTCGGCTGCGGCCTATTTCAATGCTGCCGTTTCGGGTGCCCCACAATTTGTACCGCCACCACCACCCTCTACCACAGTGGGTGCTGCAATGTTAATGCCAATGCCTGGGGTAACTGTGGCCCCACCACCACCTCCTCCGCCACCACAATTACCCCTCAGTTTGGCATCATTGACACCACTGTATATGATACCAGCTCCAGAGCCACTACAATTGAATACAATACCCCAGCCGAAGGAATTTGATTTGAATGCCATACCAAAGCCGCAATTGAATTTAGAAGCTATACAAATACCGGCAAATAATGGGGTCCAGGATACGAATATAAATTTAAGGGTAGATGGGGAACAGGAGCCACAACATGAGCAGCAAGAACAGCAGCAGCTGAAGCAACAAGTGCCACAGCATGAAAATGAACAGTCACAACAGCAGCAGCAACAAGAGAATCAATATCAACAACAAACGCAAATTCAACAGCAACAACAACAGCCAATGCAATTTCAACATCAGCAGCAACCGTCGCACATGCAGTTTCCAATGCAACAAGAACCGCAACAACAACAGCAACAAGATTTTCCACAAAATACTCAAGGTGAGCATTTTCTCCAAAAGTTAAGAACAAATATGTGATGTTTGATTTGTTTTTTTTGGCAAATTTTATTTTTCTACATACAAACATATCTATTTTTTTGCATTGTTGTTTTTTCTTTTTCAATTTTGAAAGCATTAGCCACAAAAGATTTCAATTCAAAATAATTTTTTCGATGGGAATCAGTAAATTAATACAAAAAAAAAAAACTTTTTACTTTTTTAAGTACTAAAAAAGGCGTGGATTTTTAAAAATTATTTTTCAAGAACCAAAATAGGTGTGAAATTTTTTAAAAATTATTTTCAAGGACCAATATAGGCGTGGATTTTTAAAGAATTAATTTTTCAAGGACGAAAATGGGCGTGGATTCTGTAAAGGTTCATTTTTTAAGGACCAAAATAGGCGTGGATTTTAAAGATTAATTTTTCAAGGACCAAAATAGGCGTGGATATTTTTAAGATTAATTTTTCAAGAACCAAAATAGGCATGGCTTTTTAAAGATTAATTTTTCAAGGACCAAAATAGGCATGGCTTTTTAAAGATTAATTTTTCAAGGACCCAAATAGGCGTGGATTTTTAAAAATTGTATTTTCAAAGATTTATTTCTCAAGGACCAAAGTAGACCAGATTTTGTAATGAACGAATAAGTCGTAAATATTGTGAAGTATTTTTTAAGGACCGACATTTCCAAAAAAAGTAACAAAATAATAATGAATTTTTTAATGAAATTGGCCTGGTTTTATTAAGGATTAATTTTTCAAGGACTATTGGACCCTCAATCTTCGATTTTTTTTTTAAAGATTTGTTTTTCAAGGACAATTAGACCCTTAAGCTTCGATTTTTTAAAGATTTATTTTTCAGGGACTATTAGATCCTCATGCGTGGCTTTTTAAGGACTATTGGAACCTCATGCGTGGCTTTTTTAAAGATTAATTTGTCAAGGACTATTAGACTCTCAAGCGTGAATTTTTTAAAGATTTATTTTCCAAGGAGTATTAGACGCTCAAGCGTAGCTGTTTTAAAGATAAATTTTTCAAAGACTATTAGACCCTCAAGTGTGGATTTTTTAAAGATTAATTTTTCAAGGACTCATAGACCCTCAAGGGTGTTTTTTAAATATAATTTTTCAAGGACTATTAGACGCACAGGCGTGTTTTTTTTTTCAAGAACTAATAGATCTATTTTTCAAGAAATTTTATACTCATAAAAGTGGATTTTTTCAAGGACTATTAGTGTCGCAAGCGTGGTGATAGTTACGTAACGGTGGAATTTTAAAAGCTTCTTTTTATAGACCAATATACTCTCAAGTGTGTATTTTAAAAGATATTTTTTCAAAGAGTAAAAGGCCTATAAGCGTGGATTTTTGAAGAATTTTTTTAAAGGACAAAAGAATTTTTTAAGGTTTTTTTTTTTCAATGACTAAAGGGTCGTTTTGCTTTCATTTTGAAAGAATTTTTTTCAAGGACTAAATGGACTATAAACGTGGATTTTTAAAGATTTTTTTCAAGGACTAAAAGGCCTATAAGCATGGATTTTTAAACAATTGCGTTTTCAAGGTCTAAAAGGTCTATAAGCTTGAATTTTTATAGATTTTTTTTTCAAGTACTAAAAGGTCCTTTTTCAAGGATTAAAAGACCAATAAGCGTGGATTATTAAAGAATTTGTCTCAAGGCCTAAAAGGGCTACAAGCGAGGATTTTTAAAGAATTTTTTTCAAGGACAAAAAGGCCTATAAGCGTGGATGTTTAAAGATTTTTTCAAGGACTAAGCATGGATTTTTAAAGAATATTTTTTCCTAGAAATAAAAGGCCTATAAACGTGATTTTTTAAAGAATTTTTTTAAGGACTAAGTAACCTATAAAAGCATGGATTTTTAAATAATATTTTTTTTCAAGGACTAAAGGCCTATAAGCGTGGAATTTTAAAGAATATTTTTTTCAAGGATTAAAATGCCTTTAAGCGTTTTTTCAAGGACAAAAAGGCCAATTAGCGTGGGTTTTTAAATAATTTGTTTCTTTTACAAGGACTAAAACGCCTGTAAGCGTGGATTTTTAAAGATTTTTTTCAAGGTCAAAAAGGCCTATAAGCGTGGACTTTTAAAGCATTTTTTTCAAGGACTAAGTGACCTATAAGCGTGGATTTTTAAAGAATATTTTTTTCAAAGACTAAAAGGCCTGTAAGCGTGGATTTTTAAAGATTCTTTTTCGAAGACTAAAAGGCCTATAAGCGTGGATTTTTAAAGAATATTATTTTAAATGATTAAAAGGTCGTTATGCATTCATTTTTAAAGAATATTATTTTCAATGATTAAAAGGTCGTTATGCATTCATTTTTAAAAAAATATTATTTTCAATGATTAAAAGGTCGTTATGCATTCATTTTTAAAGAATATTATTTTCAATGATTTAAAGGTGCATTCATTTTTAAATATTTTTTTTTCAACTCGATGTTTTATTATCTACACCGTTTAAGTTACTGATTCCCATTTTGTAGTATTAGTTTGAAAACAACTTCAAAACATCTACAACAAATTGTAAAAAATAGTCAAACACCTCACATCTAGCAACAACATACTCAAATCAAATAATTTCAAAGCATGCTTTAAGTGTTATTATTTATTACTCTCTATTATTTCTCCCCCTATTTTTTGTCTCATTCCCCCCTCTTTGTTTATATATTTTCTTCCGATTTGTTATTGTTATTGTTTTAATATATTACGTTGTAAGCTTAACGAATAAGATTTTAAGAGAATTTTCAGTAGTTTTTTCAGACAATAACAACCCGCTCGACAATAACAAATGCATACAATTACCAACATCTATAGAAAATCTAATCGAGTTGGTGGTCGAAAACGGTGATGCATATGAAGAGACATTACGTGGCTATAAAAATCAATTGCATCCAGCATTGTGGTAAATAATAAAAACAAAACCAATAAAATATCAAATATATGAAATCCATAGAGTGAATAATGTGGTGGGGTCAGGAAATTTTGTATTGAATTTTTCCTATTCAAACTCTTTGAATTAAAAAAACAAAAAAATAATTTTGTGAGAATCTTAGAAAAGTAGATAAAAAACCAAGACCCCAATATATGCCAAAAGCCACACCACCCACACAGAAAATAAATTTTGAACAATTCTCATGGACAACCGTTAAGGAGATGTTTGTTCGTTCCTTCGTTCACCAGATGATGATAATGTAAATGAAGACGATGATGGGTTGATGGTGGAACACAGCTAGAGCTCAAACTTTACATCAAAACAAAAATTAACAGAAAAAAGAAATCGAATCGACTATTCAACACAAACAACTCGTGTGGTTTTATCTTCAAGTTTACTTGTTGTCGTTGCAAAAAAATTATTTATTATGTTTTCATCTTTTTTTATTATCCCCTCCTCTCTCTTTTTTCTTCTTTCTCTTTTGTGTGTGTGTGTGTTTAAAACATTTAGGTTCCTCAATGACAAGTCCTGTGAACAGTATCATCACTATCGCCAAGAAATAATCGATCGTCGCCAGGAAAAACTTAAAGAACAACAACAAAAAGAATATGAAGAAATGAAACAGGAGAAACTGTCCAATGCAGGAGGGGCAGGTGCTGGCGGCAGCAGTGGTGGCGGTTATACCAAACGTCGTCCATTCTGTTCCATGGAAGAAGATAAATACGATCCGGAATCGGTAATATCAGCTGATAATGATTCCGATGATGAATATCGTCGTGGTATGATGGATCGTAATCGTGATAATATAAAACGTCGCATTGAATGTCGCAATGAATTGAGTGAGGAGGAACGTCAGGAGCGCGAAGCCGAGGAGTTGGAAGAACAACGGCGGCTGGAAAAGAAAAAGCTGCGTAAAAGTCGTTGGGGTGGAAAAGTTGAAGCGGCCGATGTTGCCAGTTCGTCGTCGTCAAGTAAGGATCATTTGTAAATATATGTATTTGATTTTTTGTATTTATGTGAATGTGTGTTATTTTGAAATTTACAAATTTCGAAGGAATTTCTGGGTCATGGATTTGTAGAGAATATTTTTCAAGGTCCAAAAAAAGGCCGTAAGAGAGGAGTTTTAAATAATATTTTTTATGGATTTAAAGGCCAACAGACGTAAAATTTTTGGAATAATCTTAAAGGCCAACAGGCGTGGATTTTTAAAGAATAACTTTTTTAAGGATCACAAGGCCAACAGGCGTGAATTTTTAAAGAATATTTTTTTATGGTTTTAATGGCCAACAGGCGTGGATTTTTAAAGAATATTTTTTCAGGGAATTGAGGGCCATTAGGCTTGGATTTTTAAAGAATATTTTTTCAGGTAATTAGGGGCCATTAGGCGTGGATTTTTAAAGAATATTTTTTTCAGGGAATTGAGGGCCATTAGACGTGGATTTTTAAAGAATATTTTTTTCAGGGAATTGAGGGCCATTAGGCGTGGATTTTTAAAGAATATTTTTTTCAGGGAATTGAGGGCCATTAGACTTGGATTTTTAAAGAATATTTATTCAGGTAATTGAGGGCCATTAGGCTTGGATTTTTAAAGAATATTTTTTCAGGTAATTAAGGGCCATTAGGCGTGGATTTTTAAAGAATATTTTTTCAGGTAATTGAGGGCCATTAGGCTTGGATTTTTAAAGAATATTTTTTCAGGTAATTAAGGGCCATTAGGCGTGGATTTTTAAAGAATATTTTTTTCAGGGAATTGAGGGCCATTAGGCGTGGATTTTTAAATAATATTTTTTCAGGGAATTGAGGGCCATTAGGCGCGGATTTTTAAAGAATATTTTTTTCAGGGAATTGAGGGCCATTAGACTTGGATTTTTAAAGAATATTTTTTCAGGTAATTGAGGGCCATTAGGCTTGGATTTTTAAAGAATATTTTTTCAGGTAATTAAGGGCCATTAGGCGTGGATTTTTAAAGAATATTTTTTTCAGGTAATTGAGGGCCATTAGGCTTGGATTTTTAAAGAATATTTTTTCAGGTAATTAAGGGCCATTAGGCGTGGATTTTTAAAGAATATTTTTTTCAGGGAATTGAGGGCCATTAGGCGCGAATTTTTAAAGAATATTTTTTCAGGGAATTGAGGGCCATTAGGCGCGGATTTTTAAAGAATATTTTTTTCAGGGAATTGAGGGCCATTAGGCGCGAATTTTTAAAGAATATTTTTTCAGGGAATTGAGGACCATTAGGCGCGGATTTTTAAAGAATATTTTTTTCAAGGAAATTTCGAACCAAAGGCGTGGATTTTTATAGAATTTTTTTTAAGAAAATTCCGAACCAAGACGTGAATTTTTAAAGAATATTTTTTTAAAGAAAATTAAAAGAATTTTTAAAGAAAATTAAAAGAATTTTTAAAGAATATTTTTTAAACCAATCGTGGATATTTTTAAAGAATATTTTTTTAAACCAATACAAGGCGTGGATTTTTTAAAGAATATTTTTTTAAATAAAATTAAAAGAATTTTTAAAGAATATTTTTTTTTTTAAGAAAATTGCGAACAAAGGCGTGAATTTTTAAAGAATATTTTTTTTTTCAAAGAAATTCCGAACCAAAGGCGTGGATTTTTAAAGAATATTTTTTTTTTTCAAAGAAATTCCGAACTATTGGCGTGGATTTTTAAAGAATATTTTTTTTTTTCAATGAAATTTCGAACCAAAGGCGTGGATTTTTAAAGAATATTTTTTTTTCAAAGAAATTTCGAACCAAAGGCGTGGATTTTTAAAGAATATTTTTTTTTCAAAGAAATTTCGAACCAAAGGCGTGGATTTTTAAAGAATATTTTTTTTCAAAGAAATTCCGAACCATTGGCGTGGATTTTTGAAGAATATATTTTTTTTTCAATGAAATTGCGAACCAATGGCGTGGATTTTTAAAGAATATTTTTTCAAGGAAATTCCGAACCAAAGGCGTCGACTTTTAAACACTATTTTTTTTTTCAAGGAAATTCCGAACCAAAGGCGAGGATTTTTAAAAAATATTTTTTTGTCAAGAAAATTCCGAACCAATGGCGTGGATTTTTAAAGTATATTTTTTCAAGGAAATTCCGAATCAAAGACGTGAATTTTTAATGAATAATTTTTTCAAGCAAATTCCGAACCAAAGGCGTGTAATTTTAAAAAATATTTTTCTTCAAAGAAATTCCGAATCAAAGACGTGAATTTTTAATGAATACGTTTTTTAAGGAAATTCCGAACCAAAGCCGGAGATTTTTAATGAATATTTTTTTTAAAGAAAATCCGAACCAAAGGCGTGGATTTCTAATGAATATTTTTTTTCAAAGAAAATTCTAACCAACGGCGTGGATTTTTAAAGAAGTTTTTTTTTCAAGAAGTGAAATACAAATTCACAAAAAATTTTTAATGTAGGTTAAGTTTTTTTAGATAGCGGAACCGGCCCCGAATTTTAGGTTATTTAAGATTTTCCAATTGATGTGGCTCTGTAATTTCGCATTTTGGGTGCTCCAAGGGTTGAAAAATGTATTTGCCAATCATTTTCAATATAGGTCCTTGTTTTGAATAGCCCCCCAAAGAGAGGTTCCGTTTCCTTTTTTACGTATTTTTATAATAATCCATGTCAAACCGAAGTGGTAGAAATTTGGCACTCCAGTTTCTTGGCGGGTGAAAAAAGTATTTTTGAACATTTTTAATAATAACTTCTGGTCCATATATGAAGGTTTAGCCCAATTATTCGGGTTTTATCTCGATATCCAAACGATACGGTTTGTAATTTGATCTTCTTCTTAAGTCATGGGGACCAAAAATATATTTGCAAACAATTTTCGCCGAAGTGCGTGCAATCTGTAATTCTTGAAACTTTGGGGGAAAACATCTTGGCAGAATATTTTAATGTAGGTCCCTTTTTTAACCGAAGCAATCCATGTATTTCCATAATAGGACAGATATTCCCTTTCTTTTTTGTTATTTTGAGGGGTTTAGCCGGATTTTTCAGCCAAAGAGGAAATAATTATGCCTTTGGGATTCTTCTCGGCATAGTCCCCCACATAAAGGTCTGGTTAAGTTGTTGCAGGGAAAGGGCCAGTCTAGGCCCAACTGGAATTTTTATTGTTTTTAATGTTGTTTTAATGCTAAAACTATCATAAAAGTTGTCAGTTTCCGTCCAATAAATTTCATCTCTGGCTAATTTCTCTCTCACTGCCCATACCAAATAACATTTTATTTTTCCCCTGCTCAACTCTGTGTGTATTCTCAGGTGTTCCGACAAGTTTCGGCAATCAAAATAAACCGCTACTTTCCACTATAACACGCAGTGATCCTGCCCTACTGCAATATGCCAAATTGAATTATGGTTCGACCAATCTCAGCGAAGAAGACTGGATAAAATGTGAGGAACACTATAAGGTGAATCTACTCTATCAGGATATGATGCGGAAGCGACAGGAAATTGATCGCTTGGCCAAAAGTGGTAAATTCAAATATGAATATGATTCGGATGAAGACACGGAGGGTGGTACATGGGAGCATAAGCTGCGTCAAGCTGAAATGGATGCAACGCGGATGTGGACCCAAGCTCTAACCAAGCAGAGTGAGGGTAAACATCATATCGGTGATTTTCTGCCACCCGAAGAGCTACGTAAATTCATGGAGCAGTATGAGGCAAAGAAGAGCAATCGTCAACCGGATCTGAGTGATTACAAGGAATACAAATTGCGTGAAGATAATATTGGTTTTCAAATGTTGCAAAAACTCGGCTGGAAAGAGGGTCAGGGGTTGGGCCAGGATGGTGCCGGTATTGTGGATCCTGTTAATAAGTATGTATAGATATCGTTATTTTAATTAATTGGAAAACAAATTTAATTTTTTTGTTAATTTTAGGGGACCTCAACGAGAGGGTAACCAAGGTTTGGGTGTCTCCAGCAGTGCCACACCGGAAGAATGCGATAATGAATATGATGCCTATCGCAAGCGCATGATGTTGGCCTATCGTTTTAGACCTAATCCTTTGGTATGTTTATAAAAAAATCCACATGAAATTACGTCCTGAGAATAATTTTATTTTTCCATTTTTGCAGAACAATCCCCGAAGAGCCTATTATTAATCGGATATTAATATTTTACTCTTTTGGACAATTGTGTTAATTTCAATGTTTCAAAACCCCCAACTAAGAAAGCATAATTTCTTTATAGAACAAAATCAATTCTAATACTATATATCTGTATATCATTGAATTCAGCTAATTAATTTAACAACAAATTAATAAAAAACAAACCGTATTTGTTAGAAAATAATATTTACTAGTTTTATTTTATTTTTTATTTTTATTAATACTTAATTTTATTTCATTATTTAAAACATAATAATACTCTTATTATTGTCTATAGTTTTTGTGTGTGTGTATATGAGTGTTGTGTTAACAATTGTGATTTTTTTTTGTTATATTTCGTTTCTTTTCTTCTTCTTGTTGCCTATCTTCGTAATTATTATGCTTAAGAGTAGAGAGTTAATACTGGAGTTTGATTGCCTCTGGCCATAAGTACGGGACACTGTACTTCACTCGATAGCATTTCCAACCATGACATATACAATGGTGCAGAAATAGCCTCCTAAAATTGAAAAAAATAAATAAATAAGTTAAAAAAACAAATTAAAAATAAATAATAAAAACAAAATAAATAAAAATATTAATAAAATAAAAATAAATAAAAAAATTAAATTGTTTAACCAATTAAAAATAATAAATAATAAAAATTATAAATTAAATATTAAATTAATAAAGAATTAAAAAGTAATAAAAAATTAAAAATAAATAATATTTTTGACGGGACCTATCATGACCTAAGCGTGGATTTTTTAAGAAAATTTTTGACGGTACCTATCACGATATAAGCGTGGGTTTTTAATGATGTTGTAAGAGGTTCTGGTGTGGATTTTAAAGAAGTATTTTTAAGAGAAGGTTGCAAGAGGCCTTGGCGTCGATTTTTTAAAAAATAATTTGTATGGTAGGTTTTGAGAGGCCTAAGCGTGGATTTGAAAAAAAAATGTTTTCGAAGAGGTTGGAGAGGCTTAGGCGTGGTTATTTAAAGCATATTTTCCTGGGGGTTGTAGGAGCTCTAGGCGTGGTTATTTAAAACATATTTTCCTGGAGGTTGCAGGAGCCCTAGGCGTGGTTAATTAAAGCACATTTTCCTGGAGGTTGCAGGAGCCCTAGGCGTGGTTATTTAAAGCACATTTTCCTGGAGGTTGCAGGAGCCCTAGGCGTAGTTATTTAAAGCATATTTTCCTGGAGGTTGTTTGAGCCCTAGGCATGTTTATTTAAATAAATATGCTTATATTTTCCTGGAGGTTGTTTGAGCCCTAGGCATGTTTATTTAAATAAATATGCTTATATTTTCCTGGAGGTTGTAGGAGCCCTAGGCTTGGTTATTTAAAACATATTTTCCTGGAGGTTGTAGGAGCCCTAGGCGTGGTTATTTAAAGCATATTTTCCTGGAGGTTGTATGAGCCTTAGGCGTAGTTATTTAAAGCATATTTTCCTGGAGGTTGTGGGAGCCCTAGGCGTGGTTATTTAAGGGAACCCCTCCCATTCTCGATTTTAATTTTTCAAGATTTTCAATGGGCTGGTAAATCAATACCAATGCTTGTTAAGGTTTGTAACTTTGCACATATATAATTGAAGATTTAAAAGAGAAGAAAAATAATTTACAAAAAATTTTTGTTATTGTTTTGTTGTTTTTTTTGTAATTAAAGAAAAGTCCTTATTTTTGATGGCGGGCATGATAACTCCTCACTGGAACATCGGAATCCGAAAATTCCAACGGTGCCAGAAAGAGTACATGTCTGGCTCTCGTATGAACTAGGATTATTGACTTCGCTCTAAAATAAACAAAATGGCGGACCTTTGAAAAAATATTTTTGGAAAATCGCCGATTTTTGACCAAAAACCAGCTTAAAAAATAAGGAAGACCTTCACCGATTGGCTTTATCCTAGTTCATACGATAGCTATACACTCACAGAGAAATGGAATCGATTAGGTTATTAGTTTTTGAGTTATCGTGCCCGCCATTCGCAAAAGAGAAAAACGCGTTTAAAGTTTGAGAAGCCCTTTAGCCGTCACTTGATGCTGACACAATAAATCGGCTATATCTTCAAGAGTTCATGAGATTTTCACTTGAAATTTTGTAGAGACATTCTTGAATTAGTGTAGAATCAAATTAAATCGAAAAAAATTTTGACCCCGAGAATGGGGGGTCCCCTTAAAGCATATTTTCCTGGAGGTTTTGGTTATTTAAAGAATTTTTTCAAGGAGGTTGTAGGGGATCTATGCCTGGTTATTTTAAGAATTGTTTTCGTGGATTTTGAAAACAATTTTTGGCGAGTTTCTGGGAGGCCTAGGCGTGGATTTTTAAAGAATATTTTTGGGGAGTTTTTGCGAGGCCTAGGAGTGTATTTTTAAAGAATATTTTTGGGGAGTTTCTGCGAGGCCTAGGAGTGTATTTTTAAAGAATTTTTATTGAGTTTCTGGGAGGCCTAGGCGTGGATTTTTAAAGAATACTTTTGGGCAGTTTCTGATAGGCCTAGGCGTGGATTTTTAAAGAATATTTTTGGGGAGCTTCTGGGAAGCCTAGGCTTGGACTGGATTTTGAAAGAATTTTTTGGGAGTTTCTGCGAGGCTATGACTGGATTTTGAAAGAATTTTTTGGGGAGTTTCTGCGAGGTCTAGGCGAGGATTTTGAAAGAATTTTTGTGAAGTTTCTGGGAGGCGTGGATTTTTAAAGATTTTTTTTGGGGAGTTTTTGGGAGGCCCAGGCGTGCATTTTTAACGAATATTTTTGGGAGCCCAGGCGTGGATTTTTAAAGATTTTTTTTTGAAGTTTCTGGGAGGCTTAGGCGTGGATTTTTAAAACATTTTTTGGGGAGTTTCTGGGAGGCCCAGGCGTGCATTTTCAACGAATATTTTTGGGGAGTTTCTGGGGGCCTGGCGTGGATTTTTAAAGAATATTTTTGGAGAGTTTCTGGGAAGCATAGACGAGGGTTTTTAAAGCATTTTTAGGGAGTTTCTGGGGATCCTAGACGAGGATTTTTAAAGAATATTTTTTGGGAGTTTCTGGGAAGAATAGACGAGGGTTTTTAAATATTTTTTTTAGGGAGTTTCTGGGGGTCCTAGACGAGGATTTTAAAAGAATTTTTTTGTGATATTCTGGGAAGCCTAGACAAGGCTTTTTAAAGGATTTTGAATAAATTAATTTAATTTTGGGGAGGGTTTATAAGAGGTATAGGCCTGGATCAAATTTTTTTTAGGATTTTTAATAAAATAATAATGGGGACACCAAGATCTTTAAAGAAATAAAAAAATTCTATTTTTTCCCCTACCTTTCTTGGCATTGGCAGTGACATAACAATGAGGGCAGCCTGCGACGAATGCTGCACAACCATTTCGTGGATACGCAATTGACGATTTGTCTTCTCTTGCATGTCTTCAATTTCATCATTGCTTAAGCCAGCCGCCTGATCACTTTGGGTATTTGTAATAAACGTATCGAGTAGCTTTTTATGCTTCAGTATGGTGTCGTTACGAGGTGCATCTGTCACGCCCTTGAGCATTATCAATTGAGAGTATTTGATACGGAATTTGGTCAATAGACTGGCCATGCTGTTGTGAGGAACGTAAAAAAAACAATGTTAAAAATCTGTGTAATGTTAAAGTTGGGGGCCTTCGACTTACTTCTTTTCTTCATTTTCCTCATCCTTGCCGTTGCTCAGAGCAAATACACGAAGTTTGCAGCCCGACCAATTGCTACGCTGGGAAATGATGTAGGGCAAGAGCATGGTTAGACCTGAAAGGGAGGAGGAGAGGGAAAATACATTTTTTTATAAATTATGGAATATATTGTATTATAAAAAATAAATTTTATTTTTTAAAAAAATTTTCAAATATTTCGAAAAATTTCACTTTCGAGTTTCCTACTTACCACCATCATCATATAACCAGAATACATCAATTGTACTCTTTGGTTGTTTACGTGTAAATATGGTCACAGCATCCAAAATGTGTTTGGGCACCTCCGAACCATTCCTGGTCATATAGGCCACATTATCATCTTGTTTCAGATTGTATTTCTTTTTACTGCTCATATTTGGCATTGGTGGAGGTTGTGGCAATGTATACGATGACTGGGCACTATCCATGCCAGCCAAATTTAAATTCGAATCAACATGCAACAGCTCCGAGGCAGTATTTTCTGGTGGCATCAGCAGATTACTGAAACCTTTACCATTTGGTGTATTGAGGTGACCCAAACCATTCGAACCGCTATAAACAATTTCCGAATTTAATTCGGAGAAATTGATGCCAGTTGGTAGACGCAATATGGCCACACCCATACGCATTGAAAATCCCATACTGTAAAGGGGAGGGTGGGGAAAGGAATTTTTGGAATTTAGATTTGATATTCTTGGTTGGGGTTTTTTGCTGTACTCACTTTAAAATATTGAAATAGGTTTCCACTTCATCTTTGCTGCTCTCAATCCAATCGCTTTTATAGCCCATCAGCACAATGTTCGGAGTCAGTTTACCAAAACCAGTCGATTTCATAAGAGCCTTGACACCCTCCTCCATATTGAAACCATCAATGATATTGTAGAAGGCCTTGATTTTGCGGGCACTCAAATATTGTTGACCCTCCTTGATTTGTCGTTGGCGATTTTTGTAGCCCAAACTTACCTGGAAAGAAATAAAGAAATAGAATTTAAGAGCGGATCTCTAGGACAGTAAATAAGTAATTTTGGAGAGGATATTACAGGCTAGGCGTGAATTTTTAAAGGAGGCGTTGATTTTTAATGAAGTAATTTTGGGGGGTTTATGAGGCCTAGGCGTGGATTTTTAAAGAAGTAATTTTGGGGAGGTTTAAGAGGCTTAGGCGTGGATTTTTAAAGAAGTAATTTTGGGGAGGTTTAAAAGGCCTAGGCGTGGATTTTTAAAGAAGTAATTTTGGGGATGTTTAAAAGGCCCTGGCGTGGATTTTTAAAGAAGTAATTTTGGGGAGGTTTAAAAGGCCTAGGCGTGGATTTTTAAAGAAGTCATTTTGGGGATGTTTAAAAGGACCAGGCGTGGATTTTTAAAGAAGTAATTTTGGGGATGTTTAAAAGGCCCAGGCGTGGATTTTTAAAGAAGTAATTTTGGGGATGTTTAAAAGGCCCAGGCGTGGATTTTTAAAGAAAATTTTTGGCGGAACTATCACTGGCCTCAGGCGTGGGTTTTTAAAGAAAATTTTTGGCGGAACTATCACTGGCCTCAGGCGTGGGTTTTTAAAGAAAATTTTTGGCGGAACTATCACTGGCCTCAGGCGTGGGTTTTTAAAGAAAATTTTTGGCGGAACTATCACTGGCCTCAGGCGTGGGTTTTTAAAGAAAATTTTTGGCGGAACTATCACTGGCCTCAGGCGTGGGTTTTTAAAGAAAATTTTTGGCGGAACTATCACTGGCCTCAGGCGTGGGTTTTTAAAGAAAATTTTTGGCGGAACTATCACTGGCCTCAGGCGTGGGTTTTTAAAGAACATTTCAAGGCCCTCAATCAGAATTTTTAATGTGATTTGTAGCGGGACTTTTCTAGGAACCTCAGTCAGAGTTGTTAATGCCACTTTTAGCGAGACTTTGGTATGGAACCCCAGTCAGATTTTTTAATGCTATTTTTGACGGGACTTTTAAGAATTCATTATAAAGAAAGTTGAAGAGTCCTAACCATTTCTAAAAAATAGAATTTCGGTGAAGAATTCTTCCAAATATTGAAAATTAAATTAAATTTACGAAAAAAACTCAACTTACCGTTTCAACATTACCCACAAACAGCAGCGAATTCTGTTTCGTCAACATATAACTGAAATCGATTAGTGGTGGTCTATCCTTGGGATCTCCGGCCAGCACCAAAACTTGTGGTGAATAATTCTTGACATGATCGGAAACATTTTGCAGGCGATGTACAGCCGTAACGGCAGCCTTATATTGTTGAGCCTGCGATGAGGAACCCCAATTCGCCTCGGGTTTACGATACATTACCACCAAATACAGGGCGAAAATAATAATCATCGTGATCAGCGATGAAATGTAATCGATTAAAAACATAATCGCAATGCACATGACAAAACCGATCAAGCTAAGCCATTGATTGTAGTACTGAAAAAAATTAAAAAACAAAAACAATTTATTATTTCTGAAATTTCAAAAATTCCAAGGGACTTACCTTAAACGTGGGCCTCCAACCTAAGGGCTTAACAAAGGCCGCATGGAAGGTACAGAAATTAATCAAGGCATACGATGCCAAATAGAAGGTGGAAATCAATGGAGCGATAACATTCAGTTCACCAATCAGGACAAAGGCAGCGGAAATGAGGAATGTCAAAACATAACCACGATAGGGTTCGCCATGTTTGCCATAGGGTTTGGAGAAGAAAATCAAACCGGGATAGATTTTGTCAATACCCAAAGCCTGGACCAGACGTGGCACCGACAACAGATTCGTCAGGGCCGTACTCAAGGTGGCCGCGAAGCAGCCGGCATAAATCAAGGGACCCCACAGCGACATCAACTGCATCACGGAATATGAATTCGCCAGACCATATTCACAACTCTGCAACGTAAGAAGATAAGAGTAAGCAAATTATTTCAATTTTAATTCAAAATCAAATTCCTTTGACTTACATGATCGGCAGCACAGCTCAATTCCGAAGTGATAAGGGTACCATTAATCAAATCGCTAACATTTCCGGAGGCATCACGCACAGCTGCTCCACCGGCAAACAACACAAAAACGGCATACGAAATCATGGAAATCAACAAAGCCCACAAGGTACCCTTGGGAATGGCTGCTCCCGGTTCCTTTAAGTCACCACAAATATTTGCACCCGCCTGGATACCCGTTACACTGGGGAAGAAAATGGCAAAGACGCTGAAGAAATTCTGATCAACCTTCTCCGAGAAACGGTAATCCGAATTGAAATTCTCCTTGAAGGTGTCCCATGAAAAGCCCACAAAACCCTTGGCAATGCTCTCTTTATCATCACCCGGACCAATTGCGGCACCAATCAAGAAATCGAATATGGCCAAAACAATGGTAACCAAAAGGAAATTTTGGGCTTTCGTCTCCCATTCCATACCCACACAACAAATGACGATCAAGACCAAAATAGTAACAACACCAACGATACGGATATCATTGATATCGTTGTCGATGATTTTCAAACCACTTTCCTCTGCAAAAAGCAACAACAACAAATTAAAATCATAATCAAATATCCAAAGGTTTGGATTCACTTACTCAGCAAATCATTGAGGGAACTACAAAAACCAATCGTATTCATGGCTGCCGCCACCGCATTGGCAAAGGCAAAGACCACACCAACGGAAGCACCAAACTCCGGACCCAAGGAACGTGATATAATGAAATAGACACCGCCGCCCTTCACCTCACCATTTGTACTGATCGCCGAAAGGGACAACGTTGTAATCACACACACGGTGGCCGATATGCCAATAATCACCAAGGTTTGCCAAATACCCGATTGGGACACAACCCAACTGAGACGCAAGAACAGCATAACACCCCAGATATTCAGCAGACATGGTACCATTACACCGACAATCCAACCCAGTTTAATGTGATGCCCACTGGGGGCGGGTGCCGGATCGGGCATTTGAATTGTCTGAAAGTAAAAGGTGAAAAAACAGGTAAGGAGAATATTAATGGATTTCGGAGAGAGATTAATGGATTGGAGAGAGAGAGAGAGAGATAGAGAAAAGGGGAAGAATATTAAAATATTTTTTGGCGGAACTATCACTGGCCTCAAACGTGGATTTTTAAGGATTATTTTTGGCGGAACTATCACTGGCCTCAGGCGTGGATTTTTAAAGAATATTTTTGGCGGAACAATCACTGGCCTCAGGCGTGGATTTTTATTAAAGAATATTTTTGGCGGAACTATCACTGGCCTCAGGCGTGGATTTTTAAAGAATATTTTTGGCGGAACTATCACTGTCCTCAGGCGTGGATTTTAAAGAATATTTTTGGCGGAACTATAACTAGCCTCAGGCGTGGATTTTTAAAGACTATTTTTGGAGAGAATATCAGCGGCTCAGGCCTAAATTTTTAAAGAATATTTTTTGGCGGGAATATCAGCGGTTCAGGCGTGGATTTTTAAAGAATATTTTTGGCGGGACTATCACTGGCCACAGGCGTAGATTTTAAAAAAATATTTTTGGCGGGACTATCACTGGCCACAGGCGTAGATTTTTAAAGAATATTTTTGGCGGGACTATCACTGGCCACAGGCGTAGATTTTTAAAGAATATTTTTGGCGGGACTATCACTGGCCACAGGCGTAGATTTTTAAAGAGTATTTTTGGCGGGACTATCACTGGCCACAGGCGTAGATTTTTAAAGAATATTTTTGGCGGGACTATCACTGGCCACAGGCGTAGATTTTTAAAGAATATTTTTGGCGGGACTATCACTGGCCACAGGCGTAGATTTTTAAAGAATATTTTTGGCGGGACTATCACTGGCCACAGGCGTAGATTTTTAAAGAATATTTTTGGCGGGACTATCACTGGCCACAGGCGTAGATTTTTAAAGAATATTTTTGGCGGGAATATCAGTGTCCTCAGGCGTTGATTTTTAAAGAATATTTTTGGCGGGAATATCAGTGTCCTCAGTCGTTGATTTTTAAAGAATATTTTTGGCGGGAATATCAGTGTCCTCAGTCGTTGATTTTTAAAGAATATTTTTGGCGGGAATATCAGTGTCCTCAGGCGTGCATTTTTAAAGAATATTTTTAAGGTACTATTAGTTCCCCACCAGATGAAATATATTAATTCGAGGCCTACTGTCATTCTACCAACCAATAGTGGCAGAAACACTAAAGCGAGGATCTCAATCTCAAAATTCAAGTAAACGTTGTTTTCACTCACCGATAGATGGCATCATAATCACCAATGATAGGCTACAGTAGACTAATCATATACAAACTTACGCAGGATTAGTCGAGTAAGACGCCGATGCTTTTTTGGAAGCCCAATGCTCCCAAGAGGAGAAAAAACAAACCTGCGTACCACGTTCAATAGCTCTTCGGCTTATCGATAAAATCATCTATCTTTTTTCAAAGAACACTATGCTAAATTTTGGCTCTGAATCCATAACGATTCACTTTGTTTGCTTCTGACAGAATATTTGTTCCATATGCCAAGCTTAAAAAAGATTTCCAGGCGCGTCGGTCTTGTGCACAGTTCTTCCAATTTGAAATACCATGCTCCGAGATCTTGTCTTCTACTTGAGCTTTCCATTGGATTCGTGGCCTTCCTCTTTTACGTGATCCATCAGTTCGCTTTTATATGCCTTTGGACTGGGGCATCCTCATCCATTCTCACAACATGACCTAGCCAACGTAGTCGCTGCAGCTCGATACGTCTGTCAATACCGATGTCCGAGAATATATGGTACAACTCATGGTTTATTCGACGGCGATATTTACCCTCGAGCAGATCGGCCCATAGATCTTTCGGAGAATTTTTCTCTCAAACACACCAGGAGCTGCTTCATCTGATTGCACATGTACCCATGTTTCTGATCCATACAACAGCTCGGGTAATATCAGAGTCTTGTAGAATGTGAGTGTGGTCTGGCGAGAGATGGCCTTATTTCCGAATTGCTTACATAGACCATAGTAGCATCGGTTGGCCAACACAATCCCTTTCCGAATTTCAAAACTGATGTCATTAGTTTTAATTATGACAGTGCAAAGGTATATAAAATATTTAGACTACCTCGAAGCTGTAGTTCTCAGATTTTCACAGTTGGTCCGAGTCTACTGGACGTCTTGCACGTTGATACCATCAGCTTGGTCTTCTCGCCATTTACTGCCAGACCCACATTGACAGACTCCTTCTCAATTTGTTCAAAGGTGGCTGTTATCGTTCGCAATGTTCGACCCATTATGTCGATGTCGTCGGCATAGGCGAGTAACATATGCTGTTTGGTGTACAGAGTTAAATTTCTGTTCACCTTTGCCACTCGCATGACCTTTTTCAGCAGGATGTTAAAAAGATTACACGACAAACTGTCACCTTATCTGAATCCTCATTCGGTATTAAAGACTTTCGAGAGGTCCTATCGTCTTGTCTCCTTTTTTTGTGTACAAGGAACACAATATGTTGAGGTTCCAATTGTTGGGCCATAACAACCGATGGTTGCTCTCCGCTTGTAATAATCGACCGTGGCATCAGAATAAATGCCGAATATTATCGTGAAAATGTTCTGGAGGGTGTATTAAAGCCTTGGGTAAGCAAACATTTTGACCGCAGACCTTGGACATTCCAACAAAACTCAGCACCATCGCGCCACCCAAGAAGAGTTTCAAAATGAGGTTTTTCGCTTAATTTCCAGCGCACAATGGCCACCAAAATCTCCTGATATCAATCCGTTGGTCTATTATGTCTGGAGTGTTTTGCAAGGAGTATTCCACAAGGTTGGCACTAAAAAATACCAAAGTGTCGATCACCTCAAGCAAGCGCTTCGCCGGGAATTGATCAAAATACCGCAGAGTAACATTCTGGTACCGTGTGACGGTTTCATTGGCCGTTTGAAGGCCATAATTCGTGTAAAAAATGACCAATTCGAACAAATCTAAACTTATTCTAAAATTTGATGCTATTTCCGCCTTTTTTTTATTTCATTCATTTGAAGGCCATAATTCGTGCCAGTGGTGACCAATTCGAACAAATCTAAACTTATTCTAAAATTTGATGCTATTTCCGATATTTTTTGCTTTCATTCAATAATATTTAAAAAAATCGTTTGTTGCAGTTTTTTTATCCCACCCTGGTTAAAATTTTTAGTATTGTTGTCATATACCTTGACAATTCATATGTACGCGAGTTTATCGATAAACCTATTCCATGACACTTTTGAACTTAAAAATGTCCCGAATTTGAAAACCAAAATGTAATTAATTTCAATTTCCACAAAAAGAAAACACAATAAAATGTCACCAATAACTCGATTGGCTATCTGGAGATACTTCTTTCAAAATTCCCTGTCACTTCGAAGACATTTTAATAGATACAAATTATTAATGCGGGATTTTGAAATTTTCGACAAGGGCACAGTATTTTGATAAATTATATGTGTATACATTGAAAACTCTATATAGCGACAGACAAGATATTTGGTGTTAGAAGTAGAAAGACGATATCAAGCTGTCAAATGATATCAATAAACAAATATTCACTTTCCCAAAAAAAATAAAAAAAAAAATTGGTGATAGATATCAATATACAAAATTCGGGGCACTTGAAAGAATGACATGTGATGACATTTAGTTAGCCTAGCCCTGGCCTTGCACACAAATATTTACTTGTGATTATTTTCCCTACAACAAGCAAAAAAATTCTGACAATGATGTATTAGCTAATGTCAAAAAATAATAATAGGACTACTACTCCACAGACGTATTGGAATGTCGAACTCGTGATCATATGTTCAGAACTTTTTTTGATTTAATCGTAATTCAATTATTTAGTAGTGGGCCAATGCTGGGCAATTTATTGCAATATTGCCATTATTATTGTGGAGTGGAAAATTAATTTAAAAAAAAATTTGGGTTCTGGACCTAACCGGTTTTATGGGAATGCCTTAGGAGCGGTGAAAATAAAGTAAACCAATCGATATTAAAAAAAATATTGTATAAAAAATATAACAAAATTAATTGCTAAAGAAGTTCGGAATGTCACATCTTCGCCCTTGATAGGTGGAGAAAAATCTGGGAATCTCAACAAAATCCAAACATCTTGAATGGTTTTGGATCATGGCATAATTATACAAGGTAGTCTCATGCAGACATATGATTCCAATTTTTTCATAAATTTACTTTTGACAATCTTCAGCTTTCAAAATTTAATTGAAAATACCCTGCCTCCAAATGTACGCACAGTATGTGTTCCGTGGCAAAAAATTGCTAAATTATCTTGCAGTGCGATGGAGATATCGGGAGAAAAGGAGAGAGGAGAAACGTATTTTCAGAAAAAGAAGAAAGAACAAGAAAAACGTGAGCGTGAGCAAATCGAGATGTACAGGAGTCAGAATGAAGTACGGCAATTCCATCAACGAGTAAAACATCAAACCGAAGGCTTTGTTGGTGCAGGCACATCCTCCTGTAGAAGACAGATACTGATAGGGTGTTGAGGATCTGGAAGGAGCATTTTGAAAAGCTTCTGGTATCAAATAGTGGCGGTGAAGAAGATATTCCAGTACCAATAAGAGATGACGGTATAGAGTGTATACCACCTAGCTGAGATGAGTTCAGAATAGCAATCAATCGACTGAAGCCGATGGATTACCAGCCGAACTATTCAAGACCGGTGGTCAGATGCTGGTCAGGAGCATACACTAGTTGATTAGTACAATTTGGCTAGAAGAATGCATGCCCAATGATTGGAACCTCAGCATCCTATGTCCCGTGAACAAAAATAGGGACAATACGATATAGAGTCTCCTTCTCTGTGTGATCGTGGAAAAGACCCATGAAAAACACATCGACACATTCCACCTATTTGTTGACTATAAAGCCGCATTCGACAGCCCTATCCGTTCCGAGGTGTTTAAAGCCATGTCTGCGTTCGGCATTCCTGCAAAATTAATACGGCTATGCAGAATAACTTTAACTGGTACAAGGTCAGCAGTTAATGTCGGAAAGGACCTCTCGGAGCCCTTCAATAACTAACGAGGATTCAGACAAGGTGACAGTTTGTCGTGTAATCTTTCTAAAATCCTGCTGGGAAAAGGTCATACGAGATGCAAATGTGAACAGAAATGACACTCTGTACACCAAACAGCATATTTTACTCGCCTACGCCGATGACATCGACACAATGGGTCCAACATTGAGAGCGATTGAGAAGGAATCTGCCAAATTTGGACTGACAGTAAATGGTGAAAAGAATAAGCTGATGGTATCAACGTGCACCAACTGTGGAATTTGAAGGCTACAGCTTCGAGGTAGTGAACGATTTTGTATACCTCGATACCGTCATAAACAAAACTAATAACATCACCTTTGAAATCCGGAGGAGAATAGTGCTGGATGCTACTATGGTCTGAGTAAGCAACGCAAGACCACCTCTCGTCGGATAAAATTCACACTCTACGAGACGCTGATATTATTCGCAAGCAGATGATGTAGAGCTTGGAGTGATTGAGAGATAAATTCTCCGCAAAATCTCTGGACCGATCTGCATCGATGGTCAATATCGCCGTCGAATGAACCATGAGTTTTACCATATATTCTCGAACATCGGTATTGTCAGACGTATCGAGCTGCAGCTACTATGTTGGCTGGGTCATGTTGTGAGACTATATGAGAATGCCTTAGCTCAAAAGGCATATAAAAGCGAGCCAAGTGGCCTTCTACGTGAACCATGTAGAAGGCCACGAAGTCAGAGTAGAAGACAACATCTCGGAAAATTGCCTTTCAAATTGGATAAGACCGACGCGCTAGGAAATCTTTTTTAAGCTCGTTCTGTCATAAGTCTGCTAAGTAAAATTTGACTGCCACATTAGCAATATTAGGGGTAAACACATAAGAGGACTTGCGGAATGACCTGTTAAGCTGGCTTCTTTTATTGTAAAATATTAAAGGATAACGGCGTCAAAATTCAAGTTTGACTCTAATATTCCTTTATAAATTGGCATTTCACATAAAGCGAAAGGCTGAATCCTCGTATGTGTTTCCCCCTTTATATGTCGAATTCATTTTTTTTGAGGAGGGTTTATTTTATTGCGAATCAATTCTCTCTATGTATTCGGAAGCGTATTACAAATGTTATACTAATGCCTATATGTTATTCTAATGCCTATATGTTATACTAATGCCTACTGTGTGGCATTGAAATATGCTGCGGAACAATTTGTGAAAAAAATCGAATGGATCTTCAACAAAATTTCAAAATCTTTAGTTTAGAAAACTATTTTTATTTGAAAACTATTTGTAAAACGTTCACAAAATACCCGTTTTCCATCATTGTATTCAATTTTTTATTCTCAAATAGGTGTTAATTTTTCTTAATAAATAGCGCATTAGTTTTCAAAAGTGGACTAGCAACTGTCTGTCTATATAGGCAGAAACAGTAATGAGTAATTTTTGTAAAGCAGAATTTTTATACAAGTGCTACCAATCAATTAGCAAAGATTGTTGTTTTTCGTTTTAAATAAATTTAAATTATTTTTATTTTCTTGTTTTTTTTGTTGTGGTCTGGTTTTGGAAGTGCCAGACGTAAATGAATTAGTATCTGTGTCATAAAACATTAAAAATTAACACTTTTATTGATTCGAATTAAGCACGTTGTTGAGAAGTGTTCGAAGGAATTTTGTAGATTTTTCGCCATGGCTACTTTTAGAATTTTTGTAGAAGATTCGTTGGTAAATTTTGTACTTAAAATAATATACATAGGTATATTTTTGTAAAATAAATTAAAAATTATAAGTAATAAGGAGCAAGATCAGTGACAAAGCCTGTCAATTAGGTAAATCATAAGTATGCATTTTTGAGTATTTCTTGTCCATGCGTATTTTTGTGTGATCATAAATAAAGACCATAAATTTGCCCAACCCCAAATCTATTTTCAAAGTTCAATGTATGTCCTAGAAATGCATGTGTAGTTTTATGTATT